ACATTATAACTAATATCAGAAGTGGGATTATTCTGATGAAGATAAAATATAACTGACAAATTTCAAGATGGCAACCAGATCGCGAAGCAAGATCGAAACTTCTTTACTAGAAATGATGAAACAATGAAAAAAATCAAGAAGAAAGAGGCAGAAAATTAAAAGAAAATCAAGAAGAAAGACATAGAAAAATAAAAGAACACCAAGAAGAAACATATAGGAAATTAAAAGAAAACCAAGAGATAAAAGAGACGAATTTAAGAGAAGAGTCTAAAAAGTTGAGAGATAACATTAAAAAATAATTAAAACAAAAATAAAACTAATTGAAGACGATTGATGAAATAATTGAAGATCTATAAAGGGATTTAAATAATAATATTGAAAAAATACAGAAAGACATCACCAAATTATGGAAAAAAGCTATAATTACAAAATCAAATTAGTACAAAAAGAAATCACAGACGTGGAAGAAACATCAAGTACAGAATAGAACATTTGGAAAATGAATAAGTATTTTCAAAGATCAAACCAGCATGTAACTGTCCAAGAATTCCAAGCTTTGATCACCATTTACTATAAAATATGGAATAAGAGAAACTATTTGGTCCAAATCTGTTATCACTAATAACACAGGCCTGGGTATTTAAGCTTCAGAAAAGTTGTTTTGGTTTTAATAATACATTTTCCATAATTCAGTTACGCAGATTTTGAAAATATTATTTTTTTTTCTGTCACATAAGGATTTTTTACAAATCGGGGGGAGGGTACTCTTATTTAGATCAAATTAGTATTTTGTTTACCACAATGAACAGTTTTTATCATTACGTTTGTTAACACAAATACAAACAAAGAACGTTGATGTCAAACGAATATGCATCCTCATTCATCCTTATTTGTGTGTGTGTGTGTGTGTGAAATCTATGTCTTTTAGTCCCATACTACGTGTTTTGTTCTTTCTTTTATGTATTGCATTATGACGTTTTGTGAAAAATCTGTATGTGATGGAGAAAAATGTATATCATTTTCGGATTCGGTATACAGGAATTACTGTAGAACATGTAAAAATTTCAAGACAATAAAACTATTGCAGGCCTGTGTAATTTACCATCTGTGACAGCAGGATGTTCCTGGACTACTCCAACTATGTCACCACTAAATCCAGTTATAAAATTTAGGTAGCCAATTCAAAAACATTGCTCAATTGAAAAACCAACATACTATCGTAAAAAAAAAAGTACAATGGTAGGCATATTGGGCTCAATTTGAAATAATTTCCAGGCTGAACAGGGGGAATAATAAACAACAAGCTATTCCTCATGTTGCTCATCAGGCTCAGTTTGAAATAATTTCTAGAATTAACAAGTGGAATAGTAAATGACAAGCTGTTCATATTGTTTCTCATTTAAAATGACCAACTTTAATAACATTAAGTAATGTTCCAGATGAGAGCCATAACAGCTATCAAGCATTGTAATCTGCCTTATTCAACAAGTTTGGAATGACACACCAGAAGGAAACATCCAAAACAATATTCTGGAGCAGTGTAAGAAGGAAAGAAAAGACCTTAGACAAATTTGTGGAACATTTGGAAATGCTTGCCCAATTATCTTACACAGATGCTTCACATAAGGTAATGGACTCGTTGGTAACATGACCAAATTATAAATGCCATAACAGACAATGATATGAAAATTAGTATGAAAGAAAGAAGGTTTTCATCTTAAAAGAAGCTCTCCAGTTGGCAGTGTAATTTGAATCCATTAGACTGCAGATAAATAACTAAAGCGCGTCTAGAAGTAATGTGATATTCAAGTCAAGTAGTACTAAAGCTTCATTACCCCTGGTGATAGTCTAGAATAACTGAAAAGATTAGTTAAACATTTGGTTACACAGAATGGAGAAAATAAACCACAAAAAGTTAGTTTTTCAATATTGTGAGGAATTGTAGCGTAAAGCCTGTATGGAATAAAAACTCCTTTCAAAGGATGTCAAAAGAATGGAACTGCTGTAACTGTGGAAAGTATGGTCATTACAGTTGGAATCAGCAGTTGTTATTAAGCCAAGAAAACAATACCATGAGGGTGTGTCTGAAAGGCTAAAGTGATCAAAGGAACAACAAAGAAGTAATCAAACATAAAAGACAGGAATTAGCTGGACTTATTGGGTGAAGTTCAACTAAGAATACTCCATTTACCCCAATTAAGATAAAAAGTCGTTTTATGAGGAACACCGTCTACAAGTCAATGGGTTTATGGATAGAAAACTTTGCAGCATGTTCTTTAGCTACAATTTCTCGACCCAGTTTCGTAATAATATATGGGAAGTAACCTCCAAAGATAAAGAGGGATTGACACAAACAGCAGGTGAACATAAAGTTCCATTAAGAGGAAATTTGTAAGTTACCCTTATTCTAGGAAGCTTTTCTACACCTCATGATATGTGGGTAATTGACATCGAGGAAGAGTGTGCACTGGTAACTGACTTCATCCAAAAACGTGGGTGCAAGGTTAGACTAGCTTCAAATGGCTTCACAGTCTATGACCAGGAAACTAAATGGCAATTACTACACTAGAGGATGAATTTTCAGTGACAACAGAGAGGGTGATTTTTGTATCACCATGAAGTGAAATATTCATACCAGAAGCTATTAGTAATATATCTACATCTAGCGACTGGGGTGTAGTGGAACCAAACACCGTCATTTCCTTAGAGATTGGTGGTTGAAAGAGGTTTCGTGGATTTGAAGAAAAATAGCCATACATGATTTTATCCAGGAAATACTTAAATCAGTTTGTGATGAAAGGAAAACTCGTTGTGATTTTTATGCTGATAAGACTGGATTGCATATATGTGACATGGTATGACTGTACAATTCCCGCCACAAGAGAAGACGAACTCTAAAGATAAGCAGGTATTGGAAAGGGCCATATGATATACATAAAATAATCCACTCAGTTACTCAATCGATTAGCAAAGAAATTCTGTAAGTTAGCATATGTAACATTAGTATTGCAGTTATTATAACTTGTATCAACATGAATGTATCCCGTAGCAAATGTTATAGAAGAAATAAATTAATACATTATTGTAAATGGAGTGGACTTACCATTATTTCTACTAAATATTCTAAAAGAACCTGCCCAGTGACAGAACATGTTTTTGTTCAAGTGTGTGCAGTTTCACAAAGCACATAGGTCATGAAGTTACATTTGCTCTAGCTACCTATTGTTCTGTGTCGTTAGCCTAATATATATTTTATTTTACTGTGAGAAAGCAGACAGCAGCCTATTCCACTGGCAGGTTAGGTAACGTCCCGATGCTACAATCTTCCCTATGTTCTAACAGAAATGGTCAATAATCACGTGAGTAGCACAAGTCACCTGGGAAAGCATATTCTTTTTGCCTCATGCATATAAATTAAGATAATGCTGCTGTTGTTTTTTTTTTAGTTGTTGTTTCGTTTTTTCAGACTGAAACATATTAGATCAAGTTTTGAGAACTAAAACTTGTTCAACTTCAAAAACATGTGATAGAAAGCTCTCTCCAGTAAACGCACTGTCATCCATACAAATGAATAAATACCTTACTGTATTTGTGAATTGAATGAAGCTTGTTCCATTGTGTTGTATATTGTATTCAGTGACTTTCGTTCAGAAACTCAATCAGAGTGACATAATTCAGATGCGCTTCGTAATATACTTCCTGTAAGAACCTTATGTTATTCTGCGGACCCTATTTAGTCACTCGTCGGGGAAAATCAGTTTTACCTTATGACATTTCCCGTAACGCCTTAAATGAAAAATACTTTACTCAACCTTGCGATCTCGCCCATTTAAGTATGAAATTACACATTGATCTATCAATCGTGTGACTACTGCAGAGGTTTAATCCCGAATATTAACGTTATAAGACCTAAACTTGCCGCTGAGACATGAGGGGGGGAGACATTAAGTAATTTTTTTGCAACTCGTATAAAAACGTTTAGCATCTTAATAATACCACGATATAAAATTTTGTTTTTGAAAATTCAACAAAATGTATTATGAGGGTGTAAAAATACCAACTTTACCAATGAAATGACTTGTATGTATTATATAAAATTCTTTTAAACTGTTGATATATGATACTATAATACTGCGCATACAGTCTCAAAATTTAAGCAGTAAAGAAAAATGATTTAGTTTATATACTTTTTGTGTGTAAATAATTTGTTGTTCAACAAACCGTGCATTTTTCAGTGTAGATATTTTTGTTAACTCAATATAAGTAAGTTAGGCATATGTAACATCATTGTAGTTACTATAAGTTGTATCAAAGTGAATGTAACCTGTAGCAAATGTTATTGAGTAAATAAATTAGTTCATTATTGTTAATTGCTTTTGTAACCACGATATTCATAGAAATCGGAAATACTCAGTTTTTCTAATTGTTTCAGTTGTAACATTGAAATTGCTGTTGAAAGGGTACTATTATGACAGATGGATAGGGGAAATAACCACGTTTACAGGTAACCATGATATTTATAGAAATCGGAAGACTGTGGTATAGGAAGGAGTTATAAAGTGGAGGTGCTGGGCTAGACATGCAGATTTTACAATAATATAATTTACAGTTGCTATATAGGTCAAATATGTAAAGAAGGGGGTGATACAGCACACCCGGTTCCGATGTCTCTGGGAGTGTTTTTTTTTTGCTGTTATTTTCAGTTATGAAGTTGAAATTTGGGTGCTATAATGAAAGATAATGCTGTTTAAGGGGAACTCAAATCCCAGAGCTTGCACAATTACAATTATATATAAATTCTGAATGTTTATTCATGCCTAGAATTGCATTTCTCTCTGTGAGGAATTACACTACAATTATTTCTTCTTTGAGCAAATGTTTTAGTTGAAGTTTCTCTAATAGGGAACACCTATTAGATCATTTCATATATATTTTACGAGGCTAGATGTTTGACGTATGCCGAATAGTTCCGAGTACAGGCTGAGCACATGTTTGTCGGTGAAGAGTATGACGAGTAACTAGTGTTATTTGAGTTGCAACATAACAGCTGGTAGAATAAAATTATGATAGCATTTGTTACAGAGTTTACGTCAGTTTGTAAGTAGAAATAAATCGTTATTGCTTGCACTTACACTGTTACATGAGTTAAATTTAGTAATGCTAACAAGTTATTTTTCATGATAAATAGTGACATAATTTATAATAATTAATATAACTAATTCAACTGTTCCGTAAATTTCAATTTTAATAAAACTTGACTCTAACTCCAACTTCCAAGCTCAATAGACTGCGAGTGTATGTTTGACTTTTGAGTAAGTGTTAATAGTAGTATTAATAGGCCGTAATTATTTGGTATATCTAAGACTTGTCTAGGCTACTAGTAATAGTATTGCTATTAGCATTATATATTTTTCGTCCAACTTCCAAGTAAGGCTTAGCGAACTTCCATTTTTTTTAGCAATACTAATAGTCAGTAATACGTAATAACATGAAGGTGACTAAGCAAAGTTGTTAATAATATTAATAATAAAGTATATTATACTTGTATTTATAGGTTTAAAGTATCAAACTGTGTTATTCATAAATTTTATTAATTACTGTTAGTGGTACTTAGTAAATCATAATTTCAAATTAATTGTGTCAGTTATGATATTGACATTGAATAATGAATTATACTGTTATTTCACATGATGATGCCAGGTAAACCTGGTGAAATATTGTAAACAGAATAAAAGTTTTACTATGTAAAAACTGATTAAAAAAAAACTTGTGTGAATTTTGAGAAACATAGTTCTTTCTAATTATTTAAGATCTGGAAACAGCTCTTACAAAATCTCTTTAAGGTGCATAGGCAATGAACATTTACTAGTGTTAAGGGTAAAAAGGTTTTTAGGTTCTGTACATAGAATTATTGAGTATATTATAAAGGAAGGCCATTGGTTTACTCTATAAGGTGCTGGTTAGACTTCATGTGGAATATTGTATTCATTTATAGTCATCTCATTGTATTAAGGTTGTTAAGTTATTTAAGAGGGTCTAAAGAAGGGCTACTAGGATGATTTCATGTCTGAAGGAATTATTATAAGGAGATAATTTTTGTTGGAGAGAAGGCTTGTGGTTCATAATTGATTTTCTAAAGGTTTTTAGTGGGTTGGAATATGTAAGTTTAGGTGATGTTCTCGTAAGAAACTTTACAATAATAGGACTAAAGGAAACAAGTTTAAGATACAGAAACTCTTACATGACTCCAGTTAAGACAGCATTACTTTTCTAATAGGGTGGGTGGGCAAGTAATAGATTGCCTTCAGATATAGCAGAAGCTGCAATGTTGAATGAGTTAAGAGGGAGAATGAATGAGTATTTTATAGATCAGGGTTGGGTAAGCAAAAGGGATTTCTATATATAGCTTAGAGTAAGGTGATTAGGATATGAGATAACCCAAGTGTATCAAATCCCTTAGAAAGAAAACTCGGCTGCAGTGACTGCTGTAAGATTCTGTGAACATTTTTTTCTTTCATCAATCATAACAAAATAGTGAATTGAAAGTATTATGGTCAATTTCCCGTTTGCTCTTATTAGTCGTAACTCAATAATGAAGAGAAAATTGGCAGCTTTCATCTCTGATTGTATCAGCCAAATGCAGTATACTAAAGGAAATCTAATTTGGCAAGTTTTTATATATTTTTTACTATATACTTTATTACTACAGTGAATTGGGATTTTGTTTTACAGGCAAATTCTTTCTCAGCATTGATAATAATAATGAATTACAACTGCAGTGATAACCTTTGTCTTTTAATCTTAAAAATATCTTATCAAGGAATAAAGTGAGACTGCTGTGGTAATTTAAATGTTTGATTTTATTGCCTATATTGCCAAATTAAATATGAAATTGTGGTGCTACTATGTCATGCAGTCTACAAAGATATTTACACTATAGCATGCGGTCTACACAGATACTTTCATTATCACCATTTTAGTGATTCACTAAAACATAATATCTTGCTAAATAATTTATATCTATCCACATTTTTGTTCGGCAAATAATAATTTAATAAGTTGTGTTCCAAAAGATTACCTTAAATTTAGGTTATAATTGTGCTAGTTTTTATTGTTGGAATTGATTTCATTCCAATTATATTTGCCCCCAAAACGTCATGTAATGGTATTTTGTACTTTATTAGTTTAAAAGCATTATTTATAATAAATAGTGCCAATTGCAAATAAACAAAAGTTAAAAAAAACGATGATGATAGTATCTGTATAAACTGCATGCAATAGTAACACTGAAATTGTTTACATTTACAACAGTTTAGTGAAATAATGCCATTTGACTTATTGATGTCAATTAATCATCCAACTAATTGTAATAACTTACATCCTTATACCTATGTAACAAAACTTTAAATAAATTAGACTAAGCACACACACACCACATAATCAGGCAACCCATTCCCAACTCAAAAAAAAGCTAAAATTCTGACTCACCTCAACAGTAAGTGATATCTCATAAACAAAGCAAAATAAAGTAACTTGACGTTACTCACGTTGTATCATTTACTCGTGTAATATAAAACTGAATTTACATTCATCTTGGGTGCTAATTCACCAAAAAATAAATCATCACTTGAGTTACACTGAATAAAATATGACATGCTTTCTAGAATAAATATTTACTTGCAACTGAAAAGGAGTAGGTAATCTCCTCAGATAAGTATATGCAGATTAAATTCTTTGCTTCATGCTAGGATCAGTATATACCGTAAAATTTGGGAAAGTAAGGATCTACTGGCCATAGTTATTAGGTGCTTCTGTTGGAAGTGTTCAGTCCTCCATTTGCTACTGCACTTGGTAAGGTTACTTTTTTAGAGTTGCTTCCCTTTGTGATGAAATACAGGTTAATTTGAAAGTTATTTTAAAGCAGATTTTACATTTTATGACCAATTGTGCACACGAACATTTTCTTGCTTTTGTGGGAAGAAGATTTGGGTAAAGAACTTCATGTGGCTCTAGAATCAAAAGCAAGTGAAGGAAGATTTTGCAGACCTATTCTAGAGGTATATAATGCTTAGAATAAAGCAAGACATGTGCCATTTTTAATATGGAAAAAGAGTAAACGATAAAATGCGGAAACAGAAAAGACTACAGTTGTTTTGTTTCTTCTTTGACTTTTGGCTATAAAACTTCTATTCCAAAACACACTTACCTCCTCTCACATTATAGCTTTATTTTGATGAAAGTTACTCTTTTATGACCATCTGAGCATTGGTATGAATCTTACCTCACTAACTCCAGCCTTTATATCCCACTATATTGCCTATAGCAAGTTAAATCTTGGAATTCTGTCCACCTATGTCAGTGTGCCCCTATCCCAGATCAGTACATAAGCTCCCCGTTATTACTTCCTATTTATTTTCTCTTGATGGCAGAACATTATGATGGCAGTTTTACATGCTTGCTGCGGATTTTTCTTCAGTGTTGAATAGTTTTAAGTTATATCTATGCTTTAGCCAATTTCTTTTAGACCTGTCTTGTTGGGTCTTGAGTTTGTTGTCTAATTTCTTTATTTTACATCAGAAAAAAAAAACATTTCTAAGACATTTTCAGATAGGAATTCACAAATTCACATCTATAACAGTCGCCTAGTACTCTTACTCTGCTACCTTTGGAGTCTAGCACTATCCGTGTGTGTGGGGGGGGGGGGGAGTTTCTAGAGAGGAGGTCCAGTCCTTCACATGTAGAGAGGTGGAGTTGTACATGGGTTTGATGTTTTTCTCCTGTTGGCTCAGAGACTCAGCTGTGGGGAATCAGGGGTGGACTGCTGAGAATTTGGACTATATTTTCTGGCATCATCCTTTGCTCAGACAGCTAATCACAAGTGTAGGATGGGCATTCCACTTCCAGCATTATTTCCAATATGGTACTTCCCTCCGCTCACAAGATTAGCCACAAGCCTTCTGCTCCCCCCCCCCCCTATTGGAATCAAATGATTCTAACATGTCTCTCATCTAAATCATCATGCATCACTTCTCTACCAATAGAAGTGTGTCATACTCATGTGACTCCCTCTATATTCCTCTACCAAACTATCGCTTCTTATTTGACAGCACTTGTGCTTGGACATGTTCCTTTTTGTTTTTTTAAAGTTTCACATTCTTCTTTAGTATACTCACGAAGTGGTTTTCATTTATTTTCACTTCTACTTTTTATTAAGTCTGTTTCTTAACTTCAATTCCAGTTTATTACAGTCACAATTTTATTTATACTTTTGATTATTGGTTGACTTTTCCTCATTATTAATTCCAAAGTTCATGTTACCACTTTGGAGGTCACACCTGTGACTAGTACTATGTCTCAGGCTTCAGGTGCGAGCGACCCAGCAGGGGATTTATCCACGTTTATTTGCAGAGAGAGATTGAACATTACATGGGTCAACCTCTGTCTCTGGACCATGCCACAATTCCTCCCAAACCAGCTGAGCCTGTTCAGGTAGACAAGGGCTCGGATTGCCTATTTCCACCTTCTGATTTTGCCCTGCTTTCCTATGCCCTGTCTGAGAAGTCAGGTATGTGATGTTTTATCCCCTTTCTTACAACATGATTAATCTTCCCATCCTTATTTGGTTTTTCCCCCTACCCGGTTATTTAGATACATACTGACCAATTTACCTCACAATTAAGTGATGGGATTAGCATGTCTTCCCCCTATGGGCTTCAGATCAGTTTGCTCTTGCTTATCATCATGCAAACTGTCCTCTTATGGACCAACACGTATTAGGTTCCATTTTGACTGTTTTGAGCGTGGCCACCAAATCTCCTGGAAGTCTGACCCATTCCCAATTTCCCTGCCTTTGTCTTACCCTCAAAACTCTTTTACAGTATCTCCCTACCATCCATCTCCTCTCTGAAGCTCTCCACCAAAATCCTGAGGGGTTTTCGGGGGACATCCTCTCCCTTCTTCCTCCAATTTGGCTCATTTCTTGTCTTTGGCTCTGGCTTTACATATGTGGTTTCTCTGTTGCTTGAACCTTCTAAGTTGTGATATGACATTAACTCCTGTCCCTTTTCCATCATCTTATCTTCGGAATTTACGTATGGCCTCATTTCTGCAGTGATAAGTCTTTCATAAGATCCCTGAGTCTTTGGAATAACGAGTTGCATCAGTACAACAACCTTGTTGCCCGCTTGTCTCGGTTGGAGCCCAATATGGCACATCTTACCATTTTCCATCCCTCCCCTTCCTTATCCATCCCTTCTTCTCAAGGTGTCTTCTCCCATCATTTTCTCTAACGACACACATCATATCACCAACT